AAAAAAAACTTTTTAGACATTGTATCAGGTTTTTACTGAAACTCGTTTTATAGTATATTCAATTTAATAACTATTCTGTTCCTAAATTAAAACTAGCTCTAAGAACATCAATGTAAGATTCTTAATCATGACTTATTGGGACTTCACATCCATTTTAGTATAAAATTTTCAACTTCTTGGTGAATAATGGAGAACTAATGAACTATTTTCCTTTCAGTTATATGACGGGGAGAGTGAAAACGCCAAGCTGGCCGGAACATTCTGTGGTTCCACTGTACCCGCTCCCTTTGTCTCTTCTGGGAACTTCCTGACAGTTCAGTTTGTCAGTGACATAAGTTTAGAAAGGGAAGGATTTAATGCCACATATACCTTCATTGACAGTGAGTAAATGGAGACATTTTTATATATTATGAAACACGTGTACTTATGCACTAAAAATAATGTCACACTAATATTTAAACTCAGTGTTAATTATCATCTAAGTTCAATGTCAATTACTAAACACCATGTTACTTACTCTATGTTTAATTCAGAGTATAAATCTGGTACAATTCTTAGCCAAGAATATATATTCTAAATTCTTCATGGAGTGATCAATGTAAATATAATTCCTTTGGGCTGGAGGGATAGAGAAGACAGAATTTTAAATATTGCATGTGTGATGAGACATGAGTAAAATTTGTCTTGAAAATTGTTCTTTTTTCCCATCTCAGTGATTTGTGGTGGAACATATAATGCAACTTGGACCCCACAAAATATTTCGTCACCCAATGCATCAAACCCAGATGTCCCACTTACCACCTGCACGTGGGTCTTCGAAGCTCCTGTGCATCAGCAGGTCGAGATAACCGTGTGGGCATTCCAGCTGCAGTCGCGGGACTGCCACCAGAATTACTTGGAGTTTCAGGACACACCGGAGGTAATCATTACAGTGTGAATGGTGTTCACATCTAGTGACCTTTTTACCAGTACTTGCATAACACTTGAAGTATGAATAATGAAATAAATTGTCAAAATTTCTCCTAGCTTAATGTGTTTTTTAGCTATACACAAACCCTCTATTTAGGTGTTGAGAAATTTGAACGTGGTCCTTAAGTCAGGAACTCTCAGACTTTCATGAGCATAAGGAACGTCTGGGTATCCTTCTACAGGTGCATACCCCTGGGCCTCTCTCTCAGAGAATGATTCCCCCACACAGCACCCATTACTGTGAATTTTTTTAGGTTTATGTACTTTTTTTTTTTACTTATTGTCTAAAGTTTTACATATGTCTCCTTTTTCCTCAATTGACCCACCCCCCACCCCAAGCCATTCCCCCCTGGGCAAGCCTTCATCTTGGTTATGCCAATATGCATGCATACAAGTCCTTTGGTTGCTCTCTAACCCCCGCCACCCCACCTCCTCATCCCCTGCCATTTGTCTCTGGATCTATTCTTGTTCATCAAATTATATTGATCATTATATCCTTCATATGAGTGAGATCATGTGATATTTATCTTTCTCCGACTGGCTTATTTCGCTTAGCACAGGGGTCCTCAAACTACGGCCTGCGGGCCACATGCTAATACAAATATTGTATTTGTTCCCGTTTTGTTTTTTTACTTCAAAATAAGATATGTGCAGTGTGCATAGGAATTTGTTTATAGTTTTTTTTAAACTATAGTCCGGCCCTCCAATGGTCTGAGGGACAGTGAACTGGCCCTCTGTTTAAAAAGTTTGAGGACCCCTGGCTTAGCATAATGCTCTCCAGTTCCATCCATGCTGTTGCAAATGGTAAAAGTTCCCTCTTTTTTATAGCAGTGTAGTATTTCATCGTGTAGATGTACCACAATTTTTTAATCCACTCATCTGCTGATGGGCACTTAGGTTGTTTCCAAATCTTAGCTATGGTGAATTGTGCCGCTATGAACATAGGGGTATATATATCCCTGGTCCTGCTGGGGTTGGACCCCAACATTTCTGGTTTCTTGGGATATATTCCTAGAAGTGGGATCACTGGGCCAAATGGGAGTTCCATTTTTTAACTTTTTGAGGAAACTCCATACTGTCTTCCACAGTGGCTGCACCAGTCTGCATTCCCACCAGCAGTGCAGGAGGGTTCCCTTTTCTCCACATCCTCTCCAGCACTTGTCGTTTGTTGATTTCTTGATGATAGCCATTCTGACAGGTGTGAGATGGTACCTCATTGTTGTTTTGATTTGCATCTCTCGGATGATCAGTGACTTTGAGTATGTTTTCATATGTCTCTTGGCCTTCTGTATGTCCTCTTTCGTAAGGGGTCTATTTAGGTCCTTTGCCCATTTTTTGAATGTATTGTTTATCTTCCTTTTGTTAAGTTGTATGAGTTCCCTATAAATTTTGGAGATTAAACCCTTCTAGGATATAACATTGGCAAATATGTCCTCCCATGCAGTGGGCTTTCTTGTTGTTTTGTTGATGGTTTCTTTTGCTGTGCAGAAGCTTTTTATTTTGATGTAGTCCCATTCGTTTATTTTCTCCTTAGTCTCTCTTGTCCTAGGACAGTGGTCGGCAAACTGCGGCTCCGTAGCCACATGCAGCTCTTTGGCCCCTTTTGTGTGG